CCCCAAAACCCCAAAACCCCATTGCATCCATAAAACAACAATACATGAAATTTAGAATAAAGTAGATACTTATTTCAGAAAATAAGATTAATTATCCGTATTGGAAGTATATTATTTAAGAATTTTAAATGTTAGATGAAGGAAATACTGTGTCAATAGACACTGGGGCTAAGAGTATACATCTTGAGGAGGGCACTGTTTATTATTGCAAATCTCAAGACTGCAAATAAATACACCCACATCATCATCAATTAGTATACACAAACAATACCTTGCTTTAATGAAATTTTAGAATACTTGTGATAAGCATTAATTTTGTGGAGTAGACTATCCTAAAAATGAAATTCCATTGGAATACATTGTACCAACACCAACTCCTTTTGAAAATCCTGTATATAATTCTATATTTCATCTTACTTTCAGTGAGATTATTTGTCTAAATTAGAAATGATTGAGGGTAAGGTAACATAACCTTATAAGATTGGGAGAAAGCTCTTAGTAACTGAGGAGTAGCTAGACAATTGGTTTGCAAAGCAATATAACCTTGACATAACATGCATCCCAGCATATAAGCCCCCAACTTTAAACAAAGCAGTATATGATCAATTAAAGAAGTATGCTCCACACAATCAAAACGAGCAATCTAAGAACTCTGTGATCGCCGAAAGGTTAAAGAAACGATAAGCTAGAGTCAGTATCAAGGATCAGTAGAAGGGTAAAAAGAGAAAAATGAGCAGTATGTTTAGAAAGGGACCAACAAGTACTCAGATAAACAATAGCTACAATATTCTACCTAGCGATACTTTAAAGATACTTTAAGAATTCTAGCCAATGTATTATATTCTAATTCATAATGTGTCTATAGAATGTATGCTGAAACTAAAAAAGTCAATTCATTTATCGATGGTTTACCATAGGAAGATTAAGAGCAGTACTATTAACGAATGCTAAGGCTTAAGAAAAGGCAACAAAAAGATGTATTGTAGGAAGATCTATTGTTAGAGAAAGCCAAAAAGAAGGTGGAACTAATTAAACAAGACAATTTTAAGACTCATGTAAAGCCCACCATATAAGTGCAAAATAGAATGAATTCTAGCATAAATCAGATTATGAGCAGAGGCGAAATCTAATAATCTGCTTAAAAAATGCAATAACTGCCAGCTAACTTCAAATTTTTGGGCTCAGATAAAGAGTTTAAGTCCTTGCTTTCTGTTAGATAATCCAATACTTAGGTAATGTCTCCTATACAATCAAAGAGAAATGCTCAAAATAATTCTATGATTAATAATGTAAATGGGGTATCATAAACACCAAGTAGCAATAGAGCATAATCTGCTATGAATTAAAACAGGAAAGAATCAAAGCAAACAAGTATTTTCTAAAAAAATCGCATTTTTAATTTCCAAGCTCAAAATGCTCCAATTGTAACACAAAGAGCAAGATCCTCTATGTTTGGATCCAATATAGATGAAAGCATATAGCAAGTAAGCAATAATGATAGGAATCTAAAAGAATCTAAAAATTCAAACCATCATAATGCGAGTAACTCCTACTTCAAGAATAGACACTCACAGGTCAGTACTAAATTCAACTCAGATGCAAGACTAAACTCAAAATCACTGTTTAAAATTAAGAAATTTAGCTAGGAGTTAATTCTTTCGGCATGCAATAGTCCCAAAAACTCTGTTAAAAACCTGCAGATAAAAGATTTCAAAATCAGCATACCATCACACACTACTTAGAATTCCCCCATGATAAAGTAGAAGCAAATTTATTAGGACTATGATAGCAATAGAAAACTGGTGAAGTAGATTTCAAACTTTACATTCGATAGACAAAATTCAGTGGCTAGTAATAATTAAACTCCATTTAGATTCAACATACATCCAAGCAATATTGATGTTAGCTAACCTAATTTCAGAATGTAGTCGAGGCAGAGTTTCACTAATTTCTCTAGACAAGGAACAATTGGTGGATAAAAGAGAGTTTCTATTAGTCTCAAAGAGATAGAAAATGAACTTAAAGAGAGTGAAAGTAAGGACTTTGAAATCTGCAATCTAAAAGTTAGATAGATCATACCAACTGGGAAATTAAACAATAATCATGTATTTTAAGATGCAGATTATTGGCATCACAGAGGAATCTAACTATAACATCATGAGGATGTAGAGGTGTCAATTGATTACTACCTGCATGGTATTAGAGCAAACCCTAGGCATTTCGGCTGTATTTATAATGTAGCCTGCGTCTATTAATAACTTGATAAGCATCTGAATGCTATCAAATGGTTCAGATTTGCATCATTAATGCAATAATTCACTGCTGACCCTTACTTTGGCTGCGCTATAAGTTTATTTAAACTACGAAGGTACTAAGAAGCCTCAGATACACTTTAAATGATCAATTCAAATTCTTTAAGGTAAGTTCTAAAATATAATGTAATAGGATCCATTTGAAAGAAGAAGAGATCTGGTATTTCAAAGCTATGTGCTATAAAAAGCTATAACTCTACGACAAGGCTGATCTAGAGTATAAGAAACTTGACAAGCATCTGAAGCATGTCGAAGGACTAAGTCTGGTAAAGTATGTCTTTTCTATCATGCTTTTACCTCTATAAAATGAAAAAAAGGTAATACATTAAAATTATATAATCATAATTCTAGCTGATTGAAGATTATCTGTTAAATTTTGAGGAGTTAATAAACTATCACAATCCTGTACTTAATCTTGATTACAGGCTACAGTCTAATCTCAAGAAACTCTATATTAAAGATTAGTGGATAGAATAGAACTTTTCAGCAAGGCTACTCGGAACACTAAATTTCTTCAGTAGACTGCCGCATGAGACCATTCAGAAATATCTACCATTCCTAAAGTTAGTAGAAAAGAAATAAAACGATTTGCTGTTCATTGAAGACTCCATAATAATTTTACTCAACGGAAGAGTCATTATTAGAAATCATCCAAACTCTATTAAGGAACATAAGATATTGGCAAATTATATAGAGGGAGCTATTCTTGGATGGGATGAAGGAGACAGAGGACTTTCTAAAGATTGTAACAACTGGGCAATATGTGCCTCTGAATTTGTGTAATATATTGAGATGGATAAGAAAACCTTCAAAAAGCTGTTCAAACACAGTAGAAACTCTGAGAAGGAAACTCATCTAAATGTGATCACTAGCTTCCCATTCTTTCAGATTATATTCCCTTAGAACATTCAAATGATAGCCTATGATCTGGGTAGAATAGTTAATTTCTAGGAAAACGAAATAGTTCTGTTTCAGCATCAAAGATCTGTCCTCAATAAGATATGGAAAGTAGAATATAATGATCACAATCAGAACAAATTCCAGCTTGAAATAGAGAGGAATTTGCAGCAGAAACCAGACGATATCAAAAGTTAAGCTCCTTCAGTCTATCAAGGATTTATGAGAGCAATCAGCACTAAGAAAACTGACAATCGAAAACTGACTATAAATGAAAACCTAGTAAATGCAAATAAGCTAAAGAAATCTATACTAAAGGGAATCAGCAAAGGATTAGGCTTGTTATTGTAGCAAGCTGCATCTCCCGAGAAGCAATCTATTAGCATAAATCAGTCACTTTCAATGAGGATACCATCAACTATGAAAGAATCTACTCTAGAATTAAATAATGATTGTAAGACTATCATTAAATATTTATATAACTTATCATAGAGTATGGAGATAAGTATAAAATAAGTCCCCTAATTTTGATACTGCAAGGCTTTTGTAAAATAGTGTGCCCTATTGATAATTTCGAGGTGATTACAATAAGAAGAGGTGATATTGTTGGCGATTGTGACTTGTTAAGATAAACTGTAAATTCTTTTTTTATAGTAATTTCATTCTAGAGCTATGAATACTTTGGTGATATAATAGCTGGTAAGGATGGAGTTGAATGTTTGGTAATAGATAACCCTGATGACATCATATCACTTTATGAAAGACAAATCCTGAATTAGTTCATGAAAGATAAGCTTGATGGTATTAAACACACCCTTTAAGTCAGATATAAACTAGAGCCTTTAGCATTGCACAAATATTGACCTAAAAATTAAAATAAAACTATTAGCTTTTAGCAATTGATAAATTTGCTATTTTATTCTTAATTTCATAAATACCTGAACCTAAATTATCTAATACTCAGGGGTTTTGGGGTTTTGGGG